GTGTGTGTACAACTGTTATTACAATACATCTTATTTGATAAGTATATAATAGAAATATGACTTTGGAAACAATTGGAAAATGGTCTGAGAAATAAGTAAGCGCAATATGGAGCACAAGACGAGATCTTCCTCTTGATGAGATTAAGAGCGACGAAATTCTTGTAAGAGCGACGAAAATAAGGAAGTCTCGATTACGAGACGTTTGTACTCGTGAAAATTGGGAATTACACGAGAATATTAGTCTTGAGAAAAGTAGGTCATAGCTTTTTAACTATGGTAGAAGTAGGAATAGTAGAAAATTTACTATTAAGACGAAGTAAAAATGTAATAAATCTCTTCAAGTATTTGAAGAGATATGAATTGCGATAGTATTCTCTTTTATCAATGAGAAATTTCAGAAGTGCAACTGCCCTTTCCTTCATTTATTCCTTGTTCATAACTCGTAACTTATGAACGACGAGACTTGGTTTCTACAGCGGTTTCTTTGATCGCGTTCGTGCTTCGTGTAGGAGAAAAGGTCATACGATCGAACGATCGGTTATTTGTACGTACGTCTTGTGTCGTACAATCCTCTGGCCCTTGCCATTTTCGAAATAATCGAATGTAATTTGCGAGTCCATGAACGCATCCGGAGGAATTCGTCGAGGATGAAAATAAACAACTGTTATTGAAATCACTGTTTAAAGAACAATTTGCATACGAAAAATTGATTTTCAAGTTGAGCAAAGGATGTAAAATCATAATCATGATTTGTTTGTTGAGATAAAAGTTGAATACGAATTTGAAGAGGATTCTTTAAATAATTTTTATTCATTGTACATTTATTTATTTACGGTAAATGTTTCATTTGATTTATTCATTTACGATTTCTTTGATATTCTGATTTCAGCATCTGAGGTATTACAAGGTAGAGCATCGGAAATCGACCGTTCTAACGAATGACGTCCGCCACAACTCGATGTAGTGAGTTCAGTTTGACTCTCACCTCGTTCGCTAGATCCACGATGATCTGTGTAATTACACATTTTCGACGGAGGAAACAGGAAATTAAAGAAACGAATCGTGAAGCTGTTATTTCATTTCCGTTCAGAATAAATTGATCATTGCTTCTTGAAAATGTGGAAGATCTGTAGAAAACTGTACACCTAAGATTCTACATCTTTTTTAATAGATTTTAGAACTTTCTAATTTATGAAACAAATTGTTCAAAATTGTATTCATTACATGCTTTTGAAATGAACAAAAAAATAGTAAAAATGTCAACTATAATTAGCTTAAATTAACAAAAATGAAACAAAAATTCTCTTCTTTTTCAATTTTATGCCATAGGAGGAGTAAAACACAAAGTCATCGGTCTTTTCAAATTCGTTATATAGATAAGCATGATATAAGGTTTTATCTCGCCGTTCAGTTTTTTGCAAATTTTCTCTTAGTAAAAAATTCTCTTTTTATTGAATCTAATCTTTTTTCGTTTAGACATACGTAAAAGTGGACTAAAAAATGGAAATTAAAGGAGGATCACTGGCATAATAGACGACCTTAGGTCGTCAATCTCTTCTGAGTCCTTTGTACCTGCTTTTAGAAGAAACTTTATAATATATACAACATGTCGATCACAGCCTCTACGGAAAGAATGGACACAGCCAAGGATCTGCCCAAGAAAAAATTTATTAACATCAATCTTCTTTCGTTGAAACTTCTGTTATTCCTCTTTTTTGGAGGTACATTTCTAATCGAGCAAAATAGATTGATTATTATAGAATTTTGATTTATTTTATAATAATATAATTTACATTTGTCACCAACATTAATGTCATAATTATTTTTTTTTTTTTTAGGAATAGGATGTCTCTTCCCTTTTCTTCCTTTACACATGACTAAAATGGGATTAAGCATCGACCAAGTCCGAATGATCTCAATAATTTCACCAGCAGTCGCGATCTTGGGACCTTTAATTGCTGCTCCAATCGCGGATAAGTTAGCAGCTCATCAAGGAAGAAATGACAAGTCCTCAACTGGCCGTTACCTCAGAGTGATGATTGCTATTGCCTGCTTCTTATCTGCCATTTTCTATGCTTTTCTTTTATTGATTCCAACGGTTGATCGTATTGAACATCCAAGAGAAAGAAAACCCGGCCTAAAGTTCAACTGCGATCATACAGGGGCGGTGGTGTTGCAAGAAAGATGCAAAGATCATATTTCTTGTCACAAATGGTCCGACGAAACCAGAGTTGGCCCGCTGCTTCTGGAAGGGTGTAATTATGCTTGTTACCCTATAGGGTTGAAACGATGGCATTCCGACGACAACGATGGTTTCATTACTTCTGGAACGACCGATTCCGACGTTGTTCTAGACGGCAGTGGCGAAACGACTGTGATTCCTCTTGAGAGTGAAATATATGCCCAGGTAAAAGGTCGAATCAAGTGCAACATTGAAATCCTATTGAAGTAGAAAAGCACGATAAGTTTTGATATCACACATGGAAATAATATTTTAATATCTTCCAATATATGAAAATCGTGTAATTCATTGTATTTGTCTCTCCTAATCTTCAATTGTTGTAAAAATAAAATAACTTAAATTAATGGAATATATTGCAGGAGCAAGAGGAAATTAAAAAGACGCGAAGATTCGCCATGCCTGAAAGTGAACCACCGCATTTATGCTTTAAGGAAGGTGACAATGTTGTTTGTCATGTTTACACCAAGTATACAGGCATCCTGGCTACAAATGCTACTCTGAAACAAGCCTTGAACAACGAAAGTGATCAGGATTGGTGTGTATATCCTCTGGTTGAATACTTTACCTGTCGTATTCCTCTTGAACTTGAAACCAGAATGGCAGAAGTTTATCAGAGTTGTTCCATTGAATGTGACCTGGTTGATCCATATACTCTTCCAGGTAATATATAATATTGTACTTTTCCAAGTATAAATGTATAAACATTTACAATCTAAATATTAATTCAATATCATCAGATAGCATCCTCGTAGAGAGCCAATGTCAACAGACAGAAGACTGGGCTCATTTAGTATTCTGGACATACTTGGCCATTCGATCAGTAGCTGATATTTTCCCAACAACAGCCGTGGCTCTGATCGATGCAGCAGTCGTAATAGCCACTAGGGAAACATCCTGTGGACGCGGAGATGTAGGACGTCAATTAGCCTTCGGCTCGCTTGGCTTTGCCATTTTTGGTCCCCTAACCGGCTATTTGTGCACTATTATAGAAAATTTGAACTCTTTCTACTATCTGACAATCGGTATACACGCGATAATGATGCTTTTGGCAGCCCTCGTAGCTCTTTGTGCCAACGGGATGCCACTCAGTCCACCAGAATGGTGGTGGCATACTAGAAGCGGCATGCTGGCACTTCCTATGAGTGCTATCAAGAGATATGGTAGTGAAACTGCAGCTTTAGTAATTGTACTGATCATTATGGGAACCTTCTGGAGCGCTATGGACAGTTATCTACCTTTGTAAGAATCTTCTTTATTTGGCTAAAATTATAATGAATGTATATTCTGACGAGAACTGTCGTTCTGATGACTATATCAAAATAATTAAATATTTATTTCATAAATTCTTATGACTACAATATCTCATGAAAGTATTTACTATATTTATCACAATTACAATACTATATAATTTCTATATACATTTTTGTACTTTTTAAATTAATGAGAGATGTAATTAAGATCATAAGATGCTGACTGTTTTCGTGAAAATTAAACTGTATTCTTTTGTTCAGACATTTACAAAAGTTAGGGGCTAACGAATTTCCCATTGGCGTGGCCATGACTGTCGGAGCAGTTCCAGCATTTTTGTTCCTTTGGAAGTCTGAGCATTTAGTTGATTACTGTGGTCATAGTAATCTTCTCATCACTGCCTTTACCGTATATATTATTAGGTAGGTAAGTTTTTATATCATTATAAACTGCGATTTCTTTTTTTTATTTATATATCTTTTAAAATTGAAATTTGCAGGTTTACTGGTCTAAGTCTTGTAGCAGAACCTTGGTGGTCCCTAATTTCCGAAGCTCTCGAAGTTTTTACGCTAGGAATCATGTGGGTTACTGCCATTCTTTACCTAAGACATCTCGTCCCGCGTCATTTAACTGTGACTGCTCAAGCACTACCTGTGATTGCGCATTTCTGCGTCGGTATGCATCCTGAGTACAATTTTAAACTTACAGTCGATGAATTCATGCAAGCAATTTAGCAATTTTAAATCTTATAACACCAAATTCGATTCAGGTCGATGCGTTGGAGCTGTGATCGGTGCTTATATCAACGTCAATGGTTCTGATATCGTTGGCTCGTTAAGATTTCTTTATCGTTGCATGGCTGTTGCTGCCGCGGCTGTTGCCGCTTTATATTTTGTCTTATATCACGGCTTATTGAAACCGCGATGCCATGCACATACCATACAAGGTCCACGACAGCCTCCCACTGTTGTACAGGGTAAGTATACTTTGACGACTTATATGTATGAATAATTTCAACTAATTCTCCGATTAGCTAATTTCAATAATTTATATTTAAATGTTAGTGTCAGACTTCAGGAATATTCAATAGCAATTAAAATAAATAATAATAATTTTTATTCAGTGCTAATAATTGATAGTTTTAACTAACTATTTCATTTATTGTACAAGCTGCTATTAAGGAGTATGAATTAAGTAAGTGGCTTTCTAATAATTTCTTAATTTTAAAATATCATTACATTATATTGCATTTTCATTGTTTTATGATTTATTTATTAATATCACTCCTTTTATTATTCTTTTCTATATGTAGCAATGAATGGAAATGGAAATTATACACCGCTCAGAGTCTATCATAATGGCATGGGCAGAAAAGGTCAATTCCGCTATTGAAGTTATACAAGAAGAAAAAAGAAGAAAAAAGAAGTGTTTAACAACACTATAAATGTCATGTTACGGTGCTAGTGATTAGACTGTCGTTGTTATTGCAATTAAAAAGAAAAAATCATCACTGTTATACGACATATGTATAAAAAGTGCATTTATCACTGTGCAGCCTCTATTAACATTTTTTCATATTTTGTCTAAACTTATGACAAAATTGTCAACTTTTTGATACTGTCATTGATTTTCTTTTATACAAACAACTTCTAAAAATTAATTTCTGCTCAAGTGTACTTCAAAATGTCGAAGCGAGAATTTACATCTTGTCAGTACCAAAATGAGATTACAGTACCAGAAAATAGGAGTACTCAAATTACGAGAATTTTTTTAAATTATTTTCCCAATTTTTATCTATTTATAGTCGTAAATAATTACAATTTTTTTTAATGAAAAATACAATTACTTTTTATTTAAAAAATTATATTTTAATGTTTATTTTCTTTTTTTTAATATAAAGAACACTTTTGAGTACTTGTACCTAAAGTACCAATGAATAATATTACCGAATCTTACCATTCTAAATGTAAGATTTGTAATGCTTTTTTATCCTTCCAATCTTTGTACTCTTTATAGATATTGTATAAGCGATATGTTAATATCATGAAAAAGCTACGAACTTGTTTCGTAACTCTGTTTAAATTCTTTGTATACTCGACTGCGGTCACGTTACGTGATGTATTTTTAAGAAAAAATTTCTACAGACTTGTTGTATGTATTTACTGAAAAATATTTGCCTCCCTATGTGTAGGATATAATGACTTTAATTGAAAAGTGAAAGAAAGTAATATATTGATTTCTGGGATCGATACGTGTATACACAGAAGACAAAAAATAAATGAAATTAAGAAAAATACGTCTTGTCTTTGAAAATGCAATTGAAATTAAGAAAGAAAACCAAAATTTCTTATTTACTTTAAAAATTCCTTTTTTCTACTAATTTTTTCTTTCAATAAAAAATAAATGAAAGACACTTTCTTACAAAATCTATGAAGAAATAGTCCTGTTTAACTTCGTAAGAAATTTATTTTTCAGATCCACTTTTACATAAAGATAATAGGTGAATTCGCTATAAATTGAATTTTCAGTTTTTAATATGACACTACAAATATAATACGTTAGGACATATAAAACACGATCAACATTTTTGTGGCCTTCTTTTCTGCCATTTTTAGGCTTACAATCATTGTACATTTAATATTAATTACAACGCAATTTTGCTTACGCAAATATAATTTATTGTTTGATATCTATATGAAATACATCTGTCAATCAAATATCAAAAGTGTTTACACATAAATGCAGCAAAAGTGTCATCCGAGAAAATTCTTACAGTTTACAATCTTACTCAATAATTTTGAAAACGATAGAAATTATAATAACAAAATTTGTGTAAAAATTTTTTTCTTCGATAATTATTATTAACAAAATTATTCGAATCTTTGTACAAAACTAATTATAATAACCTCTTATTTATCTAAAAATGAATAATTTTATTATTATTCTTATTCCATTAATCGAGATTATTTATGTGTAGATGGAGTATTTAATAAATTAATAAAATAATTTTCGAATTTCCACGAAAAATAGATATCTAGGTATCTTTAAAGATATTGATTAATCCAGAATTTTTTAATCATTATATGTATATATGAGAATTTCTATAGTAAATTTGAAATATTGATAATGAAATTTTTATTAAAAAATAAAATATATCTCTAGTACCATTATATATCTTAAAAATTTCAAAGACGAAAAAGTGAAGAGATACATTATAAAATATAAAATAGAAATCATAAAATACAAAGTTTCCCATGATAATATTATTTCCAATATTTATAAAATTTTTCAAAGCAATGTTTGCATAATTGATTAAATATAAATAAGTTCGATTAAAGTACTAATAGAACTCATGAAAGTTATTGAATAACTACTTTTTAATTAATCGTCAATAATAGTACAATCATCGCTGCTTTCAGATTCTGTAACGTTAGTTTTGCTTAAATCTTTTTTTTTATTTTTTGATACATTTCCTATACCAACATTGTCAGTAGTAGAAAAGTACCTTCTTTGCATTTTAGTTTCTTCTTTCGATTTATTATCAATAAATTCATTCGCGGCAGTCTTTTTATTTGTGTTGTTAACCATTTTCACAAGATTATCCACAGTCTTGCAGGTAATTGAATGTTCACATGATGGTTCATATGACTTTAGATCACTGTCCTTTTTAACAGAAATGCTTAAAACATTACTGGTTGAAGCACTGTTTGAAGATTTATCCATAGTTTCTAGCATTTCAGAGATGAAAGGCGAATTAGCTTCTATCAGATCTTTCAATGGTGTTTCATTTGGATCAGGCAACTGCTTTTTACTCAGTTTTTGCACAAACTGAATAAAGTGATCTTCGAAATTTCCAAGTTGCTTATTAACTTTTTTAACAGGCAATATTGAAGCATCATCTTTTTTCTCCGATTGTTTATTACTTTTCAGCACAGAACGCCTTATATGCTTATCATAATCTTGCAATTTTACAGTATTTATTTGTACCGATTTATTTTTCATCAAAACAGAGTGATCACCCACAGCTCGCTCTATACTATGTCTCTTTTTAAAGAAATTTATTCCATCGGCTACGTTCGTTTCACCAACCAGTTCAGATGGACTCATAATACTGTTCTCTATTTCTTCGCTAATTTCTTCGGATTCCACGTCGGATTCATTAGTACAAGTCATATCGAGAGGTATTTCTACGCGAGTCTCTCTCTTGCGAGTATTATTTTTATCTACAGACGGAATAGCTCCTATTTTTATTTGATATCTTTTCCATCTATTATATTCACGTATTATTCTATCATTGATACATGCTAACTGAGTCACAGTATTGCGTATATCACAATGAAACTGTTTGATTAGAAGATTAGCATCGGTCAACTTGTAATTTTTAAATTCATCTCGTTTAGTTGTATCATACAGATCTTGGAACTTAATCTTCAGATTATTCAGAATATTATTAATCTCTTTACTATGAGGAAATAACCTTTGGTTCAGTGTTTTCATATTGTGCCTCTCTTGTGTATTATAACTATTTTTTGAACTTACGAGAGCAACAGGTACTGCTTTGCCATTAGAACTGTTGATAAGTCGTGAAACTTGTGACGAACCGACAATCGCTACATCTTCTGTATCACTTTCAATCTCTATAATATTCATGTTTGTACGCGGCATTTGCGACTCAAGTAAAGACAAACGTGATCGATGTATTATATTAACATTGTGATTAGGTATACTAACCATTGGAGTTGATACAGAATGTAATGTTTGATATAAATTTGGTTGGTTTGTCTGATTTATGGAACTAGATGATACATGACGAAGAGGTGTTGCAGGTTGCAAAAAATTAGAATTTGCAACAACGTTCAAAACAGCCGTATTGTACATTGTTGGTTGTTGAGCAATAGAGGGACTCTCTTTGTGATGATTCGGATTTACTTGAAGTTGAGAAATGATCGTACCATCTCCACTAACGGTAGCATTTTCACATTCAACCATTGTTTGCTCGCATGAGAGTAAAGGTGGAAATATTTCACTATTATCCATCAAAGTGTCATCTAATGCTTCATATTTATCATTACTACCATTGGAAAATCCTGCTCTACCACGACCTTTTTTTCTACGTTTGGAAACAGGACATGATGCTATTTGCTTGGGCATGTAGGTTTCATCATCTTCTTCTGAATTTGAACCATTTTTTCGGCGCTTTCGTTTTCTCCTTCGCGGACAGCATTTTGATTCGTCAGTGTTCATTCTATTATCTATTTCATCTTGAGACAACTTACTGTTATTTTGAAATATTCTACAAAGATTTAAAATAATCAAATAATTAAACTGAAAAGTAATTATTTTAGTAATTGGTATTTACCTATTCATGGTTTGAACATGCTTAAGTAAAGCCCAACAAGTTCCTCTTGCCTTATATAGATCTTTAGGATCACAGACAAAACATTTCCACCTCTCGTCAGCTTCAATTTTTTTTCTTAATATAGGATCAAAATTTCTTTTAATACATTTGTAGCAAAATGTATTACTACAAAAGGAACAACAATACAAGTTACCACCATTTGCACACCATCTACAAAACATATCTGTCGCATCATCACCTGTAAAATTTGATTTAAAAAATATGAGATTTAATTGAACTTTTTAAATACAGATATTAATATATACCTTGTTCAAAGGTACCATCTCCATAGAAATCTCTGCATTTTGCACATAGCAATGTACGTAATACAGGATGCTCAAACATATTATGAGCATTTGCTGGTGCAGAACCAATGTGTATATCACATGCTGTGCAATGTAATCTTTGAAATCTTATAGATGAAACATCTGCAACACAACATTAATGTCAAACTACAATAACAATTTTTTACAAATCTACTTAATGATTTTTTAAAAATCTATTTTTATAACTTAACAATCTTATTATCTTATATATTCATTGCCTTTGTTACATTGAATACAACTTAAAAAATAAATAATATGTATATCAATATACGTATCAATATACTATATCAATATTACACATTTCATTACCATTTCCTGCGAAAAAAAGAATTATAGAAGATATATCCTTCTAGAAATTTAATTTTTATTATCATATTCGTGTTTTTCCAAAAACCTATAACATTCTCTACATCATAAAAGAAACATGACAATAATAACTGTATTGTATGATGTTGAGAATGAATTTGTTAGAAAAAAAGAAACAAATTAACAAACGATAAAAATTAATTAAATAAATGTTGTAAGTTTACCATTGCCAAGCATAAGTTTATAATAATTGTTCTCCTCTTGGGAAATAGGTATTGAAACATTCGTCGTGCTTGGAAGTAGTTCTTTAGGAGTTACTGTAATACAAAGTAGGTTAGACATTGTATTACGATAATTCGTAGGAAGTCATTTCATGAAACTTTGAGATTTCACCATTTTCTTTACTGTCTGCTTCTTTCACTTCGTTCACTTGTACTTCGAGCATACTTGAGATATCCATTTTTAACGTTCCGAGAACAATTATGTTCAATGTTACGTTTCAAAACATAGACTATCAGGCCGCCATTTTCCTGCTGGCGCACCGGCCTGAAATTTCGCCATAGAATTATTCAAACATTAAAAAAATATGTACCTCGTTTAAAGGCATGAACAACTGCAAAATTCTAGAGAAATAGAGCATCTTTCTTAAAAGAAAATGTGCCATTTTTCGTGAGTACTACTTCTCGATAGTTATTGCACGTTACGATTGATTGCAATTTATATATATTATAAATATACTATCACAATTGGTTATATAGAATTATAAATGTTTAAAGGTACAAATTAAAATAAATATCAAGGATGAAATAAAGTTTCCCAATTGGCATTCTCGAATCTTTTAATTTTGGCGCGATTTTTGCACGTTGAGGTCATATTAAAATTTCTGTAAAAGACTCATTAAAATATCTTTATATGTATGATCAAGAATTGTAAGATTACGTTTAAAAAATTAAAAAATAACTATAAAGGCCAAGCCAAGTTTTTAAGAATCGTTTGAATATTTGATTGATTTGACAACACGACCGGAAACTCACCCCTTTGTATATTGTTGCGACTGCAGGAATAAATTTATTTACAAATGGCGATCATTTTTCAGATTTAGTTAAGGGTGATTCAGACTGACTGACAGACAGACTGACTGAACATTCGCAAAAAATACAACAATGATGGAAAATACAGGAGAATCCAGGAAAGTCTCGCTACAAAAATCCGCAGAGAGATTAACGGAGGAAATCCAAAGTATGGCTAATTATAAAAATCTTTACACTGAAATTCAGGTACTCGCTAAGTATACAATCACTGGAATCAAATGGAAAGTGCTCAAAGTGCTCAAAAAATCATAGGTAAATACAAACAATTTTCATATATTTTTTTTTTTATTTAGAAACTTGTTGCCTCTACCGCGGTAAAAAGAGAAGATTTCAAAAATACACTACTGGAGGCGTTAAAAAGTAACGGCTTAGAAACAGAAATCAGAAATACTGTGTTTCATTGGGTCAGATCACAGGTACACGTAATTTTTATTAATTTTGATACGTTTAAAAACTTTAAAGATATTTTTTGTAACTTTTTCTTTTAATCAAACGCTCTTTAAGGGTTCTTTATCAGCTGTGTCGGAAGCGTCCACAGAGGAAGTAGATCTAACTTATTTGAAAAAGGCTCAAATTCAATGGGAACGTAGAATACAAAAATCGTTGAATTCAACATGTAACGAATTAAATGTGCCACTGGCACGCATAAGACCAAATGCAGATCGTGAAGAGCTTGCTGAAAAATGGAATGAATTAAGCACCTATGATATCGGTGACCTTAATATCGATTCGTCGAATAAAAATTCTAATAAAAGTGCTAAGACAATTATTCTAATAAATTTGAACTTTGCTTTATTCAATATTTAGATTTATCACAGTACAGACCTCTTTACGCTCCAAAAGACTTCTTGGACGTGCTATTTTCTATCCGAAATCCCTCTTTTAAAAAACAACCGTAAATAACGTTATTTTTTTTTCTAATAAAAATTACATTGTATTTTTGGATCTTATAATAAAAATAATAATTTTTCAGAAATGAATTGAATTGGGAGTTCGGCCATATACAAATTCGTGTAAAAACACTTACGCAATTGGTATATATTACATGTATCTAATTATATATATATATATTTTTTTTTGTGATAAATTTTTATTTTTTATATTTAATAGAGACATTTGTATGTGGAACTAGCAAAGGGTATGTCGTTATTAGGTGTAAATCCAGACATGCCAAGTTCAGAAAATTTTATAAATCTCGAAGAAGAAAGGATTTACATTGGCGAGAAAGTACTGAAATCAAATCATGCCCCGATAGCACAAGAATTCTTGAAGCGTGGAGCTCCTCGAGCTCTTCGGGGTCGTCTGTGGTCCCTTGTATTGGGGTCCACAGTAAAACAGAATGTAAAAATATTATTTTAAAGCTAAAAAAAAAAAAGAAATAATTGCAATCTGAATATATTTTAGGATCTAGAATATTACGAAGAATTAAAAACTATGGTGTTACAGTATGATATTGTTATAGATAAACTGATAATAAAGGTAATTCAATTTTAAGTCTTTTTATACAATTTTTTAATTTCTGTCCGATTATTTTTTCGATTATCTCTATTTTAGGATGTGCAGCTAACAGCACGAAATGACGATCAATATTTTGTATTCGAGGACGTTTTATATAAAACAATGCTGTGCTTTTCACGTGATTCAGAAGTATTAGCCCCAGTTACAACTGATAGAAGTGCTGGAGGTCAAGTAATACATGCTGTTTTACAAGGAAAACCGGCCACTTTGGAAAATACCTTAGTCTTTCCACCAAGTGGTGTGATTCCATTTCATGGGTTCACGATGTATGGTATAAAACATAGAACATTATTTTAAATCAATATTGAGAAATCTGTAGGAATCCATAGAAACGTAAGAAATTTAATTGAGACAGAGAAGAAAAGGATAGAGAAATTACAAAAATATTATTAAAATATTATGAAAATATTAATGCATGTGATCTTTTAGCTACACCGTTTTGTTACTTATACGATGATCCGTGCGCAATGTATTATACATTTCGAGCATTTTATTTACGATATTGGTTCCGCTTGCACACCGTTTCTAGTCACGAACAAGGTATTGTAGCATTATGTTTGCTTTTTGAGAGGTTACTACAGTGCCACGAACCATTGCTTTGGATTCATTGTAGAAACATTCACATACAACCGTAAGTTCAATTTGTTTTGTACATTTGTACATCATAAAACTAATTGACGTTCGTTTTTAGAGTAAAAATCGTTTTTAAGTGGATCATGAGAGGTTTCAGTGGCCATTTACCACCAGAACAATTGCTTTATCTGTGGGATTTAATTTTAGGATACGATTCGTTAGAAATTATACCCTTACTCGCAGTTACTATTTTGAGCTTTCGAAAAGAAAATTTAATGCAAGTCAATAATCAACAAAGCGTAGAGGTGGAAAAAGAATTTCATGCTAGTTATTTATTTATTATTTCTTTATGTTACTAATTATTTATTTTCAGGCTGTCTTGGCAGATTTGTCCTCATTGAAAGTTGTTCCATTATTGCAATTGGCTTTATTAAGAGAATAATAAGTAGCAAGAAGAAAAAAACATGAGAACTTGATTTAAATATAAATTTAAAATTTAAGTACTTAGGAATAATTTCTCCTTTTGCGTTTGCGCAAAATGTACTGATATATACATCTTTATCTCTCTTCCATGATTTATGGATTGTTACTATAATAAGCTACTTGACAATTCATTAAGTGATCAGACATTCTAAGCATTTCAGTAATTTAATAATTTAAAAAACGCATGAAATTGTCGACATCATCGATTTCGTCAGTGCTGATATCATCGCCATTTCTTTCACACATGGTTAGAATGATGACCAATATTCTCTGTACTCGCAGCTGATTTCCGAACGTAACTGCACATATACAGGGTGCCTTATATATACGAATGTACGTGTATTCAATAAAAATATTATACAAATATGATAAACATTTTAATAGAATATAAAATTGTTAAAGTTTTCAATAAGTATATTTGTTTCTTTTTTAATTCAATTCAAATAATGCAAAAGCAATTTTATATAGCATTTCTCTTCTTTGATTTACTATATACATATATTAGTATCTTTATATTAATATACTATTTATTGTATGTATTATTTATTAGTTTTTTTATTAAAAGGATAACATACTGTAACATATTCCTTTACGATCAAACATTTTAAAATATCTTCATGATATTTTTAATATTGGAAATAATTATAAACAATCTGAATTGTTCAAGTCCCTGTCGATAGAAGTTTCTGTCAACAGCGTTCGACTCTTCCATTTTTCTCTTTCCATATAACGTTTTATTTCTTTGGGACACATTGTATGATGCTACTTGTGATCGACAGAGATAGAAGAAATCTTTTAGAGGGGGACTTTCCTGTTTCCGCCTGTCAGCCGTGGAGATCAGAGACGCCTACCTGCCATCGTCGTTGTGTTTATGGTAGCTGATTCTTTATTGAATTGAATTTTGTGCTAATATTCCGTGAAACGCGTGCAAAGCCACGCCGAACAGCCGCTTGTGAGTAGAATCATCGTTGAATTTAATTTTTTTCCATTTTAGAAATTCTATTCGACTGTCATTGTTATTAGCGAAGTTATAAGTATGTATAAGCGACGGATAAGGGTGGGGTGATTCTCACCCCCAAATTATTAGTCATGCACAGCTTTGTATTAGTGTCGAAACCCTTCTTTAATATTATTTTTCTGTGCATCAGGAATAAATTAAATGAAAATCTAATGACAAACTTCGTTTAAAAATTTTTTTAAATAAAAATATTCTCATTTATGGATTCCTTACATTTTTTTTTTATTAAATATAGTTATTGGACATTGCATAAATTAGAAAGATTTAAAGTGAGTTGTTTATGTGTAACATTATTTTTACCAGATTACATGGTTTAAGCAGAAGTTAATCCAGAAGCTATATAGTTAAAAACGTCAAAATGGCTTGGCGTTTTAAAGCATCTAAATATAAAAATGCAGCTCCAATTGTTCCTAAACCAGAGGCCTGCATTAGAGACATCTCAGTTGGCTCTTATCAAACTTATGGCAATAATATTGCAGCATCTGCTGCATTTATGGCATTTAATGTAGACCATAATGGTATATTTATATGTTTTAATATATATTTTATTTTTTTTATATTATACTATATTTCTTGTTTTTTTTTTTTTTAATTAGGATCTAATCTGGCTGTGTTACCACTAGAAGATTGTGGTAGAAAAAGTAAAACTATGCCTTTACTCCATGCTCATGCAGATACAGTAACAGATATGGACTTCTCTCCGTTTCATGATGGTTTATTGGCCACTGGTTCGCAAGATTGTCTTGTAAGTCATAATGTTCTTTACGGAATATCTTTGTTCATTGTCCAATTAATGTGTTATAAACTATGTACTTATTGTAGGTCAAGTTATGGCATATTCCAGAAGCTGGTCTAGAAGAACCCCTGTGTAATCCTGAATGTATATTTTCCCATCGTCAAAGAAGAGTAGAAGTGGTGTGTTGGCACCCTTCAGCTGAACATCTTCTAACAACAGTATCGTATACAAACCTATCTTTATGGGATGTGATTTCACAACAAGAACTATTTTGTAATTACAATATCATATTTTCTACTGAAAATGAAACATTTTTCAATAATTTTTAATTTATTTAATATTGGTTTGTTATGTTATAGCTAACAATGAACATACAGATGTCATTCAGTCTTTAAGTTGGAAACAAGATGGTGTGCTCCTAGCTACATCTTGCAAAGACAAACAAGTGAGAATTATAGATCCTCGTACTTCTACTTGCATTGTCAATTCTTGTTCCAGTCATCAAAGTATCAAGGATTCTAGATGCGTGTGGCTAAATAATAGTGATAGAATACTTACCACTGGATTTGATGCAGCAAGATTAAGGCAGGTTTATATAAGAGATCTGAGGCATCTAAATGAACCAGTGAAAATGTTAGAACTGGATTGTAGCACAGGGTAAGAATTCATTAATGGATAATCTATCAAATTGCTTTTGATCATAACTATAACATAAATCATATTCCATAGAATTCTAATGCCTCTGTTTGATCCTGATACAAACATGCTTTTCTTGGCTGGAAAAGGAGATACTACTATTATGTACATGGAAGTTATGGATAAGGATCCATTCCTGGTTGAAGGTATTCGTCATAGTGGAGAACAAACAAAAGGAGTATGTTTGGTACCAAAACGAGCATTAAACGTGATGCAAGCTGAAGTTAATAGATTACTGCAACTTACTTCCAATATGGTGATACCTATTATGTATCAAGTTCCACGAAAAGTAAATACATTATAATATAAAAATCTTATTTGTAATACATTTCTGAGAAATAAAAATTGTTGAAATTTTTATTTTAGACATACAGAGATTTCCATGCAGATATATATCCAGATACAGTAGGGTATGTTGCACAAAATAATGCAGCAGCCTGGATCAAAGGACATGACATACCTGTTCCCAAAATATCCTTAGATCCTGCCAAAAGAAATAAAGGAGAGGAACCCATTACTGTAAGTAGATGTCTCTATAGTTTTGGGACAGTTTTAGCTTAAAAGATGTATAAAATATAGTAGAATTTTTCCTAATGGACCTATAGAAAGAATATTGATTATTTTTGTAATAGCATTTATCATTTTTTTATAAATTTGTGATATTATTGAATTGCACGCTTGTCATCATCATTTCATTTCATTTCATTTCATTATCCATTTTACTATTCAATTTGCCAGTTCTGAAACAAGTTTTTAAAGGAATTTTTTTAAACATTTTTTTTTAAACGTATTGTGTGATATTTGAGTGTATTTACAATTAATATTTAATTATTATAGAATATAGTACAAAATAAATAATAACAATGTATCAGATAATGCAATTAAGCAATTTAAAATTAATAAAACAAAATAAAGATTGAAGTTGCATTTTCTGATACTTTGTTATTTGTGTGATGTTGTACATATTTATATATACATAAGAAAGTAATATAGAAGTAGAACATGATTTAAATATTTTGAATATTTGTGCCGTAAATTTATAGTCTTTCTTTATGCATTTTATTTAAAAAAGAAATTTCGGTTGATAATTTATGTTTTATTTTGCATCATTTGATTTTATTTCCTCATGTTCTGTGTATATTTTTTCACGTTTCAGATATCCAATGTATGTTTTATAGTTTATACATTAGCACCATTCAAAGTGTTATTCCTGGCACGTGTAATTTAAATGGCAATTGATGTTCTGTAGCTTATTCTATCAGCGTAAGTAATTCTAAGTATGCGCGGAACATAGCTATTCTTGTGTTCTTAGGCAAATGCTACACTCTTTTTTTGTACATATATTCTCAAATTTATTTTGCTGCGTTTAGGTGTAAAAAAAATGAGCAGGTTTCAAGAATAGGTGTCATTTACTTGCATTGTCTCTTTATATTTTTTCTACAATTGCAAATACAAATGTACAGATAGTATGTATGTGTATGTAACAAGCTTGTAGAAATTCCATATAGCACTGATGTAGAAAGAAAATCTTGAGAATGGATGTCGGACTTCACTAATTTTGTTCAAATAGTTTGCGTTATTAAGGAATTTACTCTCAGGTACATAAGGGAAACTTAGCAACGCTCAAAGAAAATGAACGAGAAATAAAAGTGGAGCAGAAGCAATTGACGAAGCCTGTGACCGTCACTACGCCGAAAGCTTACAGGAAGACACAAGAGGTGATCGAAAAAGAGCTAATGCTTGAGAACGACATTGAGAAGTTAGAAGATACGAAGAAAATCGAAGCTGAAGATGACAAAAATAAAGTGCAGAACGGAGGACAAGTGATTCCACCAAAGCCTCTCCCAAGGTCGTCGAGAACTAATAGCATTTCCGAGGATGAACCGAAGCCAGTCGCACGTCCTCGTACATCGCCGAGCGTGGGTTCAGTAGTTACGTCCGTGAACCCTAATGCGATTGGGGGATACAAGGTTGTAATCTGGCTATAAAAGAAAATAATAATGTTATGAAAAGAATTTTTATTTAAAAAGATGTTCTACTTCTGTATGCTTGATGATATCGTGTGTTCTTACATATCGTTTCATTTATTTCATTACCGTCATAATAACCATAAATAACTTATTTACGAATAGATTTTTATTAAAACAAAAAATATATATAACGTTTAATTTTCCTTTGTTTTTAGCCCCGACTTGGACCGAAGCCGTTTCAAGCAAAGTCTGGCAGTCAAGAATTTTCTTTTGACAAGATCTTTTCAGTGCCTGTTGCCCCAAATAGCGATACCAATGGTTATCAAAATGATTTGAACAATCAGATAGAGAACAATATAGAACCAGAGAAATCGCCGTCATTTAATAATGAAAGAAGCATGAAAGAAGCAGAAAATGGAAAGAGCGATTCTAGTTCCTTGGAAGAAGATGCAAACTCGAGTGATTCTGGCTATAAACCGAAAACACCAAGTACTGCGGAAAGGCGCAAAGTGTTCGAAATAAAAGTTAAGGATGAATCGCCTGAAAGCGAGGATCTTGGAAACTTTGAACGGGGCAATGCGAATAGAAACTCTATAGCCGAAAGAAGGAGACTTTATGAAAGTCGTTCAGTATCTGTAACCGATGGAAACTTAGCTGAGAAAGCGATGGGATCGCCAACGATGTTGAGACGCAGAGATTCATTTAAAACCAAAAGTGAAGTAATTAAAGAAGACGAAGTTAAAAAAGTTATCTCAATGCTGCGTCAACAGAGTATGGATCCCCGTTTAGAGAAAGTGGATAATTCTGTGACGCCAACGCCCAAGAGAACATCGACTGTATTTGGTAAAAACAATATAAAAAATAGATTCCTTCCTTTTATGAAACAAAACATAGTTTAATAATTTATGTTTGTTGTAAATAGGTAGAGTATCGAAATTCCGACATTTAAAGGGTACACCTGGTCACAAATCTACGCATATTGAAAATATAAGGAATATTAGTCGTCAGATATCTGGAGAATGCGATGGTTTTCACGGTACTTAATATTTCGTATAAAATATTTTATCTCTTCTACAAAAAGTTTACTTCAATTAATGTATCCAATCATTGTAGCCAATCCTGATCGTGTTGCGGTGCCACTCAGTGGACCAGGTGGTAAAATAGCAGTCCTTGAATTAAAGAAAACCGGAAGATTACCAGATGGTGTAATGCCAGCGTTAGTACATGGTGCCACTGTAATGGATTTCCAATGGAATCCATTCGATAATCAGCGATTAGCTGTCGGTAAAGGAACAATTTTTTTTAATTATCACAGCATTTTGTAATAAACATATTTGCCAAATCATATTAATAATTATTCGTTAACAGCATGTGACGATGGAATGATTCGATTATGGGAAATACCGGAGTCCGGATTAGCAGAGCCAACAAACGAACCAAAACACATCATAAAAGCTCATACCGATAAAATATATTTAATCAAATTTCATCCATTGGCATCAGATGTTTTGGCGTCAGCATCTTACGATATGACCGTGAAAATTTGGGATTTAACACTTTTATCGTCTTGCGAAACAGCTGTTGCAAAAATAACTCTGATGGGACATGCAGATCAGATTTTCAGTTTAGCGTGGTCACCATGCGGTCAATACCTTGCAAGTACATGCAAAGATGGAAAATTACGAATTTATAAACCGAGATCTAGCGATGTACCAGTTAAAACTGGGAAAGGACCTGTTGGTACCAGAGGTGCACGAGTTGTGTGGGCCTTAAAAGGACAATTTCTCGTTGTATTGGGTTTCGACAAGTAAGGATTTACACAATTATTTAGGCTCATATACATGATGTTACAAAATGTATGACGGATATCTATAGAATTGATTCTAGATATCATTTACTTTCTAATCCATATCTTGTACCATTCGTTTTAGGGATCTTAAAATAAGAAACTTGAAGTGTGAATAGAATAAAATGAAATATTAATATATTTTTAACTTAAAAAATAAGCAACAAATAATATTTTTCTATATAAACTTTTTGTATTTTCTGACATTCTGTTAAAAGTATAATATAACTTGTTGTTATATATTTTTCTTTTCAGAGTTTCAGAAAGACAAATATATGTATTTAAAACAGACAGTCTTAGTACGTCGTTGACTACAGTCGGATTAGACGTTTCACCTGCAATTCTAATGCCATATTACGACGAAGACAGTTCGACACTTTTCTTAACGGGACGCGTAAATATTGTTTCTTATTGCGAAGTTTAAAGTACGAGTAATTAAAAAATATTTTTTGTGAAACATATGTTTTTAGGGTGACTCTACAATATACGCTTTTGAAGTAACGGAAGAACCACCATATTGCTGTCCACTTAGCCATCATCGATGCAGCAGTTTGCATCAGGGTTTATCGTTTCTTCCTAAGAATAAATGTGATGTTGCTAGCGTAGAATTTGCATCAGCTTTAAGACTGACGAACAATACGATAGAACCTTTGAGTTTTACTGTTCCACGTATAAAGGTAAATTGTAATGTAAATCACAAAGGTGTAAAAGTAGTAAACTTAATTTTAATTGTTTCAGAGTGAACTTTTCCAAGACGATTTGTTTCCACCAACGAAAGTTACGTGGAAGCCAACTATGACTGCCACTGAATGGTTTAATGGAGCTAACAAACAAGCTTATAGAATAAGTCTAAAACCACCTGGCATGGATAATTGTAAGTAAAAGCTAATATTTCTATTAAAAGTATTGTAGTATTTGTGTTAAAGATGTTATAAATATTTTTTATTTTATGCATAGTAACAGAAAATCAAGGTCAAGGAGTAGTTACTGCGCCAGTTGCGGCAAAACAACAACCAACAACTCCATTCTCTGTATCTGCCCAATCTTTCAACAGACTGGGATGGAATCCTGACGTAAAAGCTAAACAAGAAGAAGTAAGTAAATATTTAAAAACAATTTGGCATGAGTTATATACACAAGTATAGGGTTGTGTCACAGATCTTTATGCAGAAAGTATAATCTTTTTAGTTATTTTACTATATATTTTTTATTATTTCGGTTTTTTTTTTATTGTTGTTGCAAATCTACAAAATACCATAAGGCTCAGTTTTTAAACAAAACTGTATTAAATTTAACATAAATTTAAAAACTTCGTACTTTTATATCCTGTTTTGTCTAAGCATATCGTGAATGTGTGTGTGATAGATCCAGAAAACTATGAGCAACTTTGTGGGTGATGTAATACAGTGCTCCTTAGAACAAGATCACATGGAAGGTGTAGAGGAGCACGAATGGGTAAGTATTATTTGTTGCGAAGCTAGAAGCGAATTTATTTTTATTTTGTAATATCATATAATTTCGATCATATCCCTGCAAATTATTGACCCCATATATTTGCGATTTCGTTATTTTAATTGCAGGATGAGTGAAGATTGCGCGACGTTGATAGATCATTCAAATAAAACGGTAAGATAAAATAAATCTAAATGTAGCTGTTCGAAGCGTAATTTATTTGTAAGTTAAAAATCACAACGTAAACGGAAGTATTTCGGCATTGACATCGTACATTGAGAGATATTTATGACTGAAACGATACTTCCAACAAAAATTTTATTCAGAAAGACTACTAATATGTGCGATTTTCTTTAATTGTGGTAATATTTTAACATTATAGGTATAATTACCTAGATTCTCGTGCAAATTTATTTAATTTAGAAGAAACTAAGGGCTGGACATTGAAATATTTTCACTTTGTGTTAAAATTTTCTATTCTATATAATTCAGTAAAAAAGTCCTTGTAAAAAAAAAAATTGCGATTGCAGTCCTTGTTATAAATGATTTCTATTAATTGACACTTGATTCATTTGATATTAAGGATAACTACATAGAATAATTATCAGTAAGAGCAGTACTAGAGATTTAGATTTACGAATATTTACCAAAATTTGACAATAGTTTCGATTACGTGTTTGTAACTTCGAGATCACTGGTACTATTCCAAAATATGTTTCTAGCGCTGAGTGAAAACGAATCTACTGAATAATTTTGTTCTATTATCTATAAGATTTGAGAATGCTTTAATATGTCATTTATGAATTAAAGATATAGAAGAGGTTTTAGCGTACTAATTAGAAGTGGGCATTGCTTGACTAGATCTTTTATTTTTAAACAGAAAATCAAATTTCACTTGATTAAAATATTCTTTGAAATAACGTTTTTCTTAAATAATTTATAAATTATTAATATCGTTCAATAAGCAATGTTCATTTCTATTGCTAAATACTCTAGTATATAATGATCCATAAAATAATTCTTGAAACTGATATATGATTTATATAATATAGACCTATTAGTGCCACATATGTTTCTTTATTTAACATTATCAATGATAGTCTGAGTGTATACATTACTGTAATGTAATTATCATACGTGTGATATTAGCGAACTTTTTCATGAATCAAGAATAGAAATTTTTACAATGCATTCTAATAGACACACGCACATATTATGTGAGATAAATGATAGAAAATTACACATATTAAGTTACAAACAATTATGTTATACAGCGAAGTATAAACACGGTAACTGATTGTAAGCTCAGTGTTTCCCTGAATCTTAAGCAATAACTCAATGGCCATGTCGAATATAATAAACCATTTTTTATACTCTTTCAATTGCGCCAAAGTATTTGTAAACACAAAAGGCTCGAAAATCCACTAAAATGTATCATAACTCGAAATCGTTCTTTCAATTCATTGTGCATCTATGATTAGAATATTGAAGCGTGAATTCCATATTTATTGATGGTCAGAAAATGAAAATCCCTTTAGATTACAAGTAGCGTAAAAATGCCTATTTTGTCTATACGATATACACTGAATTTGTACTTTCTAATAGTCTAATATAAAAATTAAGAACGATAGAATGATTTATTATTCCTATAAAGTGCATTTGTTTACAATTTTATACGAAAATATTTTATTACATTTAGATAGACAGTTTTTTAACTACAAGTAACCATAGTTTCTTGTAACTAAGAACGTAATGGTGTTCCTATTTGTATGATTGAAAAGCAATTTTGTATAAACGAGGAACCCTCTAGTTTAGTGTATCGATTTTTAAATATGCCTACAATCAAACATGGAATTTATGCTTCTATGCGAGAACCACGCACATTTTATACTTTTATATTTCAATGTCAGTAAGTTAATAGAAAACGTGTAAAAGAAATTAAAGTGATGGTGCTATGCCGTTTCGACAAACTCTAGCTTGTAGTCGCCAGAAATACGATGATGAAAGTACGACAAATTATACAATTTGTTTTCCGATGAAAAACACAATCATTGCTCAGTTTGCTCAATAACATTCCAACCTGTATTTTATCATAAAAAAAGAGGCACAAAATCATCAACTACAAAAAATTAAAAAGGTGCCAAAAGTTTCAACAACAATTGAGAAAAGAAAAAGTTTATATGAATTAAGTTGAATTAAAACACGATGAATTGAACGTTATAAAGCATTTAAGAAAGTTGCATATATTTTTCTCTAGATTTCTCATGCATCTTTTTATACCATTTCTATCAAGGAACGGAACTTTTATAAACATCAAAAGTAAAAAGAAAAAAATGTAGAACAAAAAGGAACAAAATAATACTTCGCTATGAAAAATTGCCATTTGCATCGTCCACGTCGTAATTCACATTTGTATGTCTAAATAATTATCCGTCAGATATTCTAGAACTGAGAAACGTCATTGTTGCATATTTTATTAGCCTTATTTTTTCATGCTATTGTATTTTGTAGTAGGTTTATATTACGGATATAAACAGATCAAAAGCCATATACACACACCACACATACACACACACATATATATAAAGTATCATTTAAAAATGTATCTAAAAAAATTACAAGTTGCATAACAAATCTTTTTGACTTCTGTTTTAAAATTTTTTTCCATTACACCTTAAAGCGAAACTATAGATTATAATAAGAGGTAAATGGAAAAAATAATCACAAAACAGATAAAAATTGTTTCTTACTCTATAATGCTTCTCAAGAATGCTATTCCACTGTGCAACTCTTTTATATTGTGAATTTTCCCTGCATTAAACAGTAGATTTATAATCACTCTCAATAATTAATGCGATCTTTCGTAAGCCGCGATTTGAAGATATTGTTTCAAAAAAATTATTTCGATTGCAACAAGAAGTTTCTTAGTATTCAATATTGCGCTATGACTGATCGCTAGGTAATTCTATCATGTAGTGACATACCTTTGTATCGACCTTATACCTCTTACATGTATTTCACTTATAAAATCTTTTTATCAAAAATGTGTATTTGGTGTATTTTTATCCTCATATTATTTGTACTTTAATTACACTAAAGAAAAAAAAAGAACGAAAACAATTCAGTTGAATACTATCATTTATAAAACTTTAGGAATGTTTTTATTTAAATTTATATAAACAACAAATTTTATGTTAGATCGTAGCTCTTTTTGTACACTTATTAATAAAAAGTGTAATAAAGAAAGATGATTTATATATAGATGATAATTTTAAAAAACAAAAAAAAAATTCTTGTGTAAATCATCTAGCGTATCCAACTCTATCTCTAGGAATTAATCTGAGTTCGGATCCATGTTTAAGAAAAACGTTCCCTGAAATTAAATCATAATCATTATATTTGAAAATTTATAGCATTATTTTATAATATGTTAAACTGACCTGCTGTTTGTTGTGGATTAATACCTATTCCATCATCTGTGATTATGGCAGATGTTGCTGGAGATACTTTAAATTCTTCAGCAGCAAATTTCAATACAGCAGTGAAAGGTGTATTATCTGGCACACTAAGTCTGAAATTATAAATACACAATGTATATATAATTACTGAAAAATTTTCATCTAATCAGATAGTGAATTAGATGTAAACTTAAAAAGATGAGAGCTTATACAAATAATTATTAAAACTGAGAAACTCAAAAAAAAAAATGAAACTAATTTTATATAAACCCTCATTTCCGTTTAATGAGTATACAAGGATTGTGCTATTACCATCCAATATCTTTTTCAATTTTATGCCATATTGTACCATTGGACAGTGTTTTTACTAAACTCATTCTGTTGTACATTATTTCTGAAATTTCTGTAGGACCATTCAATAATATTTCTACTACATTGACAAGATGCTCATACTGAAATTCGCAATTTGATATCCACTGATCTTTAATTTGTTTCATATGACGTGCGAAATAAAATACACTATCAAGAAAATTCATATAAAGCTCTGAATATCTCTGCATCAATTTCCACAGCAACTTTCGTTTTACATTTGAGAGAGCTAAGCAAACATTTGCATCATTTTGAACGAGTTTGTTTAATAATATCTGAACTATTAATTCTTTGCTTTTGCTGTTATGGTGTAAATTAACAGCAAATTGAACTAGTTTTAAATGAAAACCATCATTAAACATTTTATGAATATATTCCGAAACCTCACACTCATTACCATTCTTAATTAAGGACTCCCAAGACATAATTAAAGCTTCATCTTGCATATCCGAAACACAGATGCCTAATTGTTCTAAAGATTTTATAATTATATTTGTGCATATTCCATTGATTAATACTTGTCTAAGAAAATCATTAAGTCTATCATTGCCGCAATGTTGAATGTACAATTTTAAAAGTTCATCCACAATATCGTTTGATACCGTACTGTCTTTCAAATAGACTTCTAATAATTTATCGCAAGCTTTTTTCAACTCGGAACACTTATATAAATTTGATCTACCCTCCCTCAACCAATGATTATGAAGATTATTATCAAGAACATTTTCTTTGCCCACTTCGTACGCTTTGGCAATTGTGACCTCGATAAACTGAGCGCATTGAAAAGCTTTGACAACATTCTCTATATTTGTTTTTTCACTGATACTTGGATTTTCTATAAGTACAAGAAATGTATTAAACATTCTTAATACTTCAAGAAAATCAGCATCTGACATGTTCATGTTATTTTTGTATATATGTAAATAATGTTAGACTCTCATTTACTCACTCGCTCACTGACTAAACTTACACTTTGAATGGAAGTTTCGGGTCAGAGGTAAGAGTTATTTTAAAAGTAACTTTAGACCTGCAACAAATGAACATTCTCATTGTTAATTAACTTAAATCATAAACATATGTTTGTGACAGAAAGTATATACATTTCGAAATTACGAGTCAGCTTATGTATATATTACTTTTTTTCTATCATTTTTCCAAAAGTATTATTAATCAGAATACGTACGCCATAATAGTCTGATATTATTTTACTAAAAAAATGGAACTTTTATGTATACGACTCAGACTTTGAGAGACCTTAACCTCAAATATTCACTTTATTTCCTTCCAAGAACATATGACAAGCACGCATGCGTACAGATATAGTACGTAGTACGTATATATACGAACACAGATACGTAGTATATATATTCAAATTGAAATACCAAAGACTTTAGTATTATATATGGTTTTTCTTTCTGTTTTTGAACAAAGAAGAATCAATATAATTTCAAAAAAAAATCTTCCGTTAGAGAAAAGCATAATGTAGTTCACAAGAATTAAATATTATTCGAACAAGTGTGCTTTGATTTAGTGAATAGAGTTTTAAATTTTTATAAATATACTTCTATATTTAAATAAAATAGAAAACTAGAAGGGTTTAATGGAGAAGAAATAATTATGGAAGTTCATGAATTAATTTATTTTATTAGTTTATTTGCAAATGAAAATTCAATCGAATTGTGACGCTGTCACACTAGCACCACGTAGCAGTGAAACGCTGAAATTAATCACTATCTTTGTCCTTAACGCACGCTATTGCGTTCCTTTTCTATGTATAGTGCTGCCATCTAAGCACCTCTTAGTTTCGACTGGAACTAAAAGAACAAAACAAAATAATCCAATAGATGGCGGCACATCGTCTATTTCTGTGGCGGCGCGCGTATTTTTAAAACGAATTTCACAGCAACGACGTTGATTACAAAAGAAAGAAGAAAATAAAATAATGGAAAATATTGGAATTGTAATTTCAGTTGACAAAAATCATCCAAAGCAAGCGGTCTTCATAAAGATCTTGTTATATATAAATTAAAATAAATAGTTATTGTTACAGTTTCTTATTAAACTTGTAATATATTTATTAAAAGGAGTAAACTTCCATATTCCTCTAGATAATTCTAAATAGAGACGATAGATGGCAGCGCCTTGTTCGTCCATAAATGAAAGAGAGCAATATAACAAAATAGATGCACGTCGCATGGTAGACAAAAAGCGCAATATTGTACAGCAAGGAAAGAAGTAATTATTAGTTCAACCATTTCACCGTTATGTGCTGATAGTGTTTCAGTGTCTATGATTTGATTAAATTTTTATTTACAAAAAAAACTGATCAACAGGATTGATGTCCAATATGGTCTGATATCTGATATCCAATATTTCGTTTAATTCCCAACTTTCTTATGACAATTAAAAAAACAACTCGTCGCTCATACTCTAATGTAATTATAAATATTTAATTATATATTAGAAATAAATTAATTCATTATATCGATTACAGGTATAAATCCATTTTCATGGAAATGATCGTACAATACATTAAAAAATAGAACCATTTTATTTCAAAATTGCTGTACAAAAAATATTTGCAAAATATTTAACATTAATAATTGTAAACTGTTAATTAAAAAGTTGTCAATAAATTAATTTCCCTTGCTTCTATTAATTATATATTCTTCTTTGTTTTCAGTAGACTTTGCTCTTTCTAGTTTGCATTTTCCTCGTTATGCTTTCCATTTTTATTTTATATTTTCTATATATTTCCCCATGTTCGTAATTACAGTAGATCTTCATTTATTCGAACATGTCGCGTCGACAGGGATCGTTCGGATAACAGAAGCTGACCAACATTCTCTTATTTATTTATTTTGATGATGAGAGATAGTAGATAAGGATAACAAAGATTGATTTGAATTATGAGTTCACATATCTGAGGCTCAACGTTAACTGCTTCGCATAAACGAGGTTTGAATAAACGAAATTCTATTATATATTTTATTTATGTACCGTGTATTTTGTTACTGTACATTTCATCCTAATATTAAAATTTATTATACAATATAAACACAAATAATAAAAATTATTCAAATACATCTTGTAAATATATCCTCATGATTTTAAATTTCGCACTAAGCGTCTGTATTCGTTATGATAGTACGTAATTTATAACATATTTTATAATTTAATTTACTGTACAATTCTTTTACAAAGGCATATAATATATATATATATATTAAGTTTAAATACTTTTCAATTCGAATATTCTCTATCCTCGCTCTATTTAGCAATTTAATTCAACCAACGAACACACCGCTACAAATACATCTTACATCCCTTGAAATATTTCACCACGATAATTATTCCTGAAAGATGCAATTGAACTTCAGTTGTATTTTACTCTCTTGTATTTCTTATCAATTAAATAAACAGCAACACGCACGATCGAAACTTTTGAGATTGCTACGTTACGGGCTTATCGCCTCTGTAAGTAATAAGTAGCGTGATTGTGCCGTTAATGTTGCATTAGTGTGTTGCACTCCGTAGTTTCGGTGCATTAATTTCTCTACCTACGACACGATGCGATAGATAGTAGCGCGTAGAACGCGTCTCGATAAGTTGCACGACCAGAAAATATCCCGCAGAGATCGAGATATTCTTTTTCCTCTTGCGCCGTTTCGAGCAGGATTTCGAACGATCGCAAACACGCACTCGTAAAGGTTAGACATAATTAGGAAAGAGGAAATCGCACAGCCACATAGTTCGATGCAGCTTTGATAAAATAGATTGTCAGGCTTGTGTGCAGGGAGTCGAGCAAGAGGCGAAAATGGATAGTAGTAAAGCGGATGACGAAAATCAACGTAATATTAATGATGGGGACTGGATTTGTCCCGACTCTCAGTACGTAGCTTTTTTAGAGACAACATCGCCGACCGAAATCAACTTTACGCTTTGAATGCTTCAATTTTATACATGATGTAGGATTTTGTTTCCAACTTTGTTCAATACTTATTTGTTTATACTGTTACTGTGTCAATATACGATATTTATTTCAACTGATAACATAGATTCTATAATAAATCATTTAATATTTAATAATATGTTGTTTGTTTGCCAAAAAATTTATTTAACGAATACATGGTGTATATGGGATAATATTGCCTATATTGAAGTTTTGTTTCTGTTGTGATAAAGGAATGTTATATTTGTCAGAGCAAGCAAAACAAGATGTTTAAAATTAAACTTGTTATAAGTTTTTTGTATTTTAAGATATTGGTATCGAGTCTATAAAATGCTAGTATTAAAAACTAGTATTAAATTTTGTATATATTATTTATATGTATCTATTGTATTAAATAGTATTTTGATACTGTTTAATATTTTAGATGTGCCAATGTAAATTTTGCAAGGAGAAACTCTTGTAATCGATGTGGAAAAGGTATATAAAAGTCAATATGGTAATGTATAATTTTTGTTATATAGTAATATAAGTCTCCTTGCAACTTCCTTTAATGTTTATTAATATTACGGTGTTTATTATTATATACAATAATTAACAAAGTATATACATTTTTATGCAGACAGAGGAGAATGTCCTAAGAAGAAAAAATTAGGGCAAGAAATTGGCAAAGCAGCTGCAGAGAAAAGCAGAGGGTTATTCAGGTAAATGATAAGAACATAAAAAAAAAGTATTATCTATTATGCTATATTAAGTTCAAAAATAATATTCTAAAATGTATGACATCCAGGAGTAACAGCACAATATAATTTTATCAGTTTTATTTAAATGATTAGCATTTTCATTTCAGTAATATACAGAGTTATACAATCAAATTGTATATCTTTCTTTAACTTTCAATATCTTAATATTTTTGTAAAATATTTACACAATGAGTAAATATTATAGATACATGAATAGCAGGACAAATGAACGATCATACATTATGACATGACGTCTTTATGTTTTATGTTTAGTGCTGATGATTGGCAGTGCAGTAAATGTGGAAATGTAAACTGGGCACGACGACAACAGTGTAACATGTGTAACGCACCGAAATTCGGAGAAATTGAAGAACGTACAGGATATGGAGGGGGATATAATGATCGAGGAGTCGTTGAATACAAAGAAAGAAGAGACGATGATGATGAATATGATGAATTTGGACGTCGTAAAAAGAAACGAAAGATTGAAAACCGTTCAGATGATGATTCCAAAGATTCTAGGTATAGCAGCCCACCACGTAACAAGTCTAAGGACGAAGATGAAAAAGATGAAGTAGAAAATGAAGAAGATCAAAATGTAATTGAACAAGCAATTATTCTGTCGATAATTCAAACATATGAAACATATATTCAATTTTAGAACGAAGATGACGACGAGGAAGACGATGAAGAAGATGGCGATTTGTCGAAATACGATCTTAGCGAATGGGATGATTTTGCAATTAAAAAAAAGTAAATTTTTTTATGATTAACATTTTTTATAATGGATATCAATACATGCTGTTAATTTTCAGTACAAATGGGAGCACTGCATCTTCAGAAGAGCAACAATCAAGGTAATAACAACAGTAAAAAATAAGAGACTTTCATAATCAATTAGCAATCTTTTCTTTTTGCTATAAATAAAATCTATAATGATTTTATTTTATCATCAAAGAACTTGCGAAAATAATAATTGTATCGATGAAAACAGATAACAAACAATTATATGAACATGTTTTCTTTACAGAGATAAAGATGACTGGCGCGATTCAGGAACATCCAGTCAATGAAAAGATATTGCAGAAGGAAAGGTTTGACATGGGTTTCGGGTATAAAATTGATTGCGACAATGAATTGCGATATTAATCGATAAAATTGCTAAACGACACTTTTGTTTTAAACCTCTTAGAGATAGAATTATCGTATTCCTTGTCATAAGCCAGTAGATGTTTAGAATCATAATGGCATGGTTAAAAGGAAGATATAGATTTTAAAAAAAAGCCCAAAGAAAATAATGGTATAGTACTCGTTAAATAAATGATTTTTTACAGGTGAGAGGAAATTCCATGAGCGAAAAAAATTGCTCGACTACTAAAAGATATAATACAACGCAACAAATTTAGTGATTTAGTGAGCACCTTTGGATAAAGTGATGGACAATATACTTATTACAAAGGGAATCGATTAACAAATAAGCTTTACATTTCGTGATTGAACTCAAAACTTCGTTTGACTCTGTGAAGAGTGAAATGTAGGTTACTTATTTGCGCAATATTATATTAAATATTGCATAGTAATGCGAAAATTCGTAAAATACTTGGCGCAGGTAGAATATTTCGCCAGTAAATGAAAACAAGAAAAAAAAAAAAAA